TATATAGACAGGACTGTACAGACGTGCCGTTAAAACCTACACATATATACATTTTGTCAATCCTCATAAGAATCCTAGTCACAAACGGGCTTTTAAATTTCTGCGATAAACAAAAAGGGAACAAAAACTGAGACATCACTCAAAATCTGCAAGGAAGGGATGGGTTTTTACTCGCGTTTTCTTTAAGATGCGCGGTGACAACAATAGAACTTCTCAAATAATTACAATAATCGGTGTTCATATTTAAACCAGTATAGGTCCCATGTTTGGTAATACATTTCATAATGAAAAGGTCCCTGTTCACTTTTTATTAAGTATACTTTTTTATACGACAGAGATTTCAACAGAAATACGATAAACAATTTGCGCCCACAGACAAAATCAATAGAGGCTTCGTGTCACATTCAAAACCGATTTCCGAGAAAACCTTTAAATAGCCCAAAGTATAGGTGCGCGGTATTAAATGTACACCGTTTTACCGCGGTATTATTTTTCTCTGGTGGTACGTACTAGTGTACTTTTTCACCATACCGGTGTGTCGGTAGTTTCCGTCAGTAAAGGATGTTCAGAAATTCCCGAGGAATGATAATGACATTTATTATCATTTAATCACATATTTGACACGTATTCCAAATGAAATATTTTGAAACATATTCGCGCCAAATCCAATATACCAAAATATTCCGGATTCAATAGAAAACAAAAATAAAACTATGTCATATTTTAATTATTTACTAGCATATGTGAATATGTTAAGTATATGTATTCCTTTGCAAGATTACGAATGAACCTATGATTTTCAGGAGTGCACTTGTTTTCTGTCTGCACCTTAAGTAATTTGTTATGTCCGCTAAATGTTTTGTCGTTGAATAAGTCGACGTATTTTATGTTTGCTGTTCATCTCAGATAATTATATTGCCCAGTTGTTTGGCATCCCATTCAAAATTTCTTTGCTTCCTATATCAATTGTGCAACAATAATATTGTTGCTTCAGCATCCACACTTCCTATTCTAGTCAATTGGCTCTTTAATGTCAACATGTCTATATAGGTATCAGCAAGCTGAATAAACCCACTTTTAGTTACAGCTTTTAGATTGCAATTAACATACACATAACAATTCATCTATTATAAGACACTGGTCATTTCATTTTCAGGAGGATAATGGCTGAATTTCTTACAAGCTGAATTTTTTTCTTTTTATCTCAAGATAACTAATTTTTGTAAACAATATATGGGATATAATAAGGTGTTATTTTGCTATAAATCAGATATACTTTCCGGGTATTGAAAGTCGAAATTTAAAAAAAAAAATGTCAGGTGTATGATCCAGAACATTGAATTGATGTCCTTAATATAATTTCTGTTTATTGTGGTACGCATAACGGTAAGTTCAGAAGTACCGTGGTATACCGCGATACTAGCCCAATGAGATCAAAACGTAACAGTGTTGCACAATGTTCATAATTATATGCAGATGCCATGTATATGATCGAGTTTCCTGTCTCAAAATTCATATTGTACTAATTGTTTAATTTATATGAAATCGCATTGAAATAAATGTTTATTTATATGAAATTTGCATTGTACTAATTACTTATTTTTGTGTGACATCTAAAGACAGTTTTATGCTTCAGTATGTGCGGTCTTCTCCGTCCAAAGCAAGCGTATTCTGATGGTAGTAGTTTTCTAAGACTTACTTCCATGTAGGAAGCATAAAACCTACACAATGTTTACGCGGTTATCCATCTTCATTCCTAGATATCTGTCATTATTATAAGGGTAAATTTGTCTTTCCATTTCCTTTTTCCTCGGCTTTCCAAAACTTCCGTGGCTAGACTTGCATAATACCTGTCTAGCCACGGAAGTTTTGGAAAGTCGAGACATCGAGTCACAGTACTTGCATTCTGTATTTAAAATGGAGAAAACCCTATATACTTAACAGTGGTTAAGAGCGCATTTGGGGTGGTTCTGAATTTTCCTCCAATTTATCAACCTCATTTGCTTGAGTAAAATAGTCATTTCAATGGGAGAAGAAAAAAAACAACGGTTGGTCACCGTAAGGAAGACACACTACTTCTCTTCCTAAAATCGAAATCTCATTAAAAGAAAATCGTGTCCCTTCCTCTGCTTAAAGTGCATAAATGTATGTTTTGTAATTTTATACACAATTATCGAAATGAAATAAGACTTTCAGCCAAAAAATGGAAAATCTGTGAAAACTCTCATCCTAATTTGAAATGACAAGGAGAAACGGAATCAGATATGTTCCATGGTGTTACAGACCTCTATGCACTAATCCAGTTTCCGTAGCAAACATATGCACACATCTGGATATTAAAAATTCATTAACTTTGAATTCTGGACGCTAATGATTAGATCCATATTCATCAATACAAATCCATCCTTGAATAAACTTGTGTGTAGAGAACGCCATTTTCTTGATTTACGTGCGTTTGAAACATTTCTTTTTTTCAATTCCGCACCAAAGGACCAGGTGCCGATTTCCAGTAATTAGTTTTGTAAACTCGAGTCTGCAAAAAGACTGAAACTCCATCAGTTAAATATTGTCTATATTTTTTTCGTTACAGCTAGAATAAGATTTCAAAATATTCTTTATACTAAAATTTACTTTTTTTATTAAACAATCCTGGTCAGCCAAAGCCATATGCACTCTTTTTTATGTGAACCCATTTCTAGACTGGTCCCCATTCTTCTCCGTAATTGGTATAATGAGACCTACTCAGTTAATTGATTACTACAATGGCATTTTATGGAAAATAATCACCTTCTCCTCATCTAGTTTATGATTCAAGAAGATTGTTGTAGGCTGCTATAATATCCAAGTCATCCCTTGCATATTTTGTTGATCAAGTTTAACCTGACTATTCTCAATTAAACGACTATTTCATATACGGAAGCCGATTAAGTAGCAACCGCCTCGTGTTTGGACGAAAATATAAGACTGTCAGCAAGGTCGGCTTGTGTACTGCACCTGACAATTTCAGCTAAAAGTGCATACAGAAGCACACAAAAACATTTTCGCATATCCTGAAACTGAAATACTGGTATTAATTTGACCTACTGTATGTTGGGTCATAACAGAAATGAGAACAGAGAGAAGTGATTATATTATCCCATCTTGCATATTGTCAACATCTTCCTTCAGCTGTATTTGTAAACGTGGAACACAATATCGCCATCGACCTTTAGTGCCAATAACTTAACAACAGACGATACATCCTCTACAGTTGCTTTTGTGTGTGGTTTTTTGTTATTATTTTTTTTATTATTTCGACTCTATGATCATAAACTAAGTAACCGAAAGAAGCAAATCCAGCAAGTTTGTCAAATTTAACAAAGAATTTGGTTATCAATGTTATAAAATGACAAATTAGGAGGAACTTAGATTATTATGAATTGAAACTAAACTATTCCTTTAGTCCAAAAGAATACAATGTTCCTTATAAATTTCAGATCAAAGAATACACTGGTCTGCCAACATTACTTACATGTCAGAATTGTGTTGTCCGGAAATCCTTCGAATAATCCACACTGACTAATCCTGAAGATAATAAACACATCTGCAGACTGATTTCAACATAGGAACTAAAAATCCGAAAAGGGAACTACTCCAAAAAAGGAATAATTCTGATTGCTCATTTCTCTCATGATACACCCCCCTTCAAAAGTCTATTGCGTCTATGTATCGTATTATAGCCTACGTGACAGGTTTTACTACTCTTTCTAATATTTTAAAACAACTGTTCGTGTGACGTATCCCATCCATAGGGACATAATTTTTCTAAGAACTAACCTGACATAAACCCGTATGATGGAAAATAACACAAAACATCTCATGTTCAACACTACCATTATTATTAGTAACTGTCAACACGAACGTACGCATCTATTTATAAATCCTATGCAAAGTTACCTTCGTAATATTTTAAAAATAGAACCTATGCGGTTAAGAAATTTACATACATACATACATACATACATACATACATACATACATACATACATACATACATACATACATACATACATACATACATACATACATACATACATACATACATACATACATACATACATACATACATACATACATACATACATACATACATACATACATACATACATACATATATATATATATACATATATATATATATATATACATATATATATATATATATATATATATATATATATATATATATATATTGTAGAGTTTTTATATGTTATGGCATTTGAGAAATAAAGGATCTCAAATGGTAATGATTTAATGTTGAATTTATGAAACTAGTTGAATAATGTCTAGATTTCGCGAGCGTTGACTAGGAAATGCTCGACATTATTCAACAAGTTTCATAAATTTAATAATAAATCATTACCCATTTGAGATTCTTTTCATCACAGTTTATTTCAGTGGATAGTATTTAGATGGAAAGAAGAACGAATAATTTCGTTCATTATGACAGATGTTGCATCTTTCATCAGTTGTGCGTAAAAATGTCCCAAATAAATTTGAACTAGTATTAACATTTAAAAAACAATTATACCATTCTTACAATTTACAAATTAAAGAACAAGCGTTCTTTCTGACAAGCAGAACATTTTGCAAGGACAAAATCATTTTTCAACACAGAACGTCGAATGCGCGTGATGTCGCATTGTTTGATGCAGTAGACGATCCATGTTTACGTAACCTAACATGTCGCTTTCACAACTAAACATTACACTGTTGTAACGGTATGGTGTTTATTATTTTTAACATAGCTTTAACAATTTTTCAGTCATATCGCTAAGATGTCTGCAGTGTGGCAGTTTATAGTGATGTCTTGCACTGGGGCATCATGCTGCAGACATGTAGCATCATGTCCCGCCCAGTCACATTATCCTGACACCAAGCCGACCAGTCCTAACACTAACCTCTTAATGCTGAGCGTCAAGCGAGGCAGCTGTTAGTACCATTTTTGTAAGTCTTTAGTATAACTCGACCGGGGATCGAACCCAAGAACTCCCGTGTCTGAGGCGGACGCTCTAACAACTAGGCCACCGAAGCGGTTATCACTGTTTCAATACTCGTGTGAAAGATGGTTTTAGGATACAGAAATTCTCCTTTACTGTAAATGTTTTTGTGACCGGATATTTGCAGTATTTGACTTGAAACAGCAGACTAGAGAGTACGTAAACAAATTTCATTTTGAGTCGGAACTGCATCAGATATTTACCGCGTAAATATGCAATGGTTGGATAAACTTATGTCAGTTTGGATTACGGTTTATGTCCATATTCTTCTGTTAAGGGAGAAGAGTGTGTATGTGTATATATAAATATATAATGGACAATCATTTATTTGGTTTATTTGGACCAATTAGAATCAGATAATGCAATACGTTCATATGTGATAATTCTGCTTTCCCTACCATACCTTCACCAGGTGGTCAGTGAGAGTCGTAAAAAAAATAATACCTTTCACTTTTGAGTAAGACAGATTGCTAATCTAAGTCAATAGCACATACTTGCACATTTTTTAAAGATTGATATATGATGTGGGTTCTAGCTGACAAGCTTGCATTGACGTCTACGTGATTACATGTTGCATCTTAACTTATGCCCTTATTAATTTTTCAAGTCTTATCTGGACTAATACAATAGTATAGCTTCAAATTATGCTCACGCATTAATATTACACAAGTTAATTTAATTATTTAATCTCTAGCGTTCCTCTAGAAATTTATATCATGACATTTATTAATTACCAAAGCAATACAATAAAACAATAAAACAGATCATGGACGTTACAGTGAGGCACAATGAAAGTTGAAACATGCATAATGTTACGAATCCTTGAGACTAAGTATAACCAAAAAAAAAAACAATTATGTTGTTGTTGCTGTTGTGAGGTTAAAGCCATTTTTCATCACATGATAGGCTATACATGGCGGCCAGTATGAATGGTGGGGAAAGAACCCGGGAAAATCCCAGAAAGACCCACCGACCCATGAGAAGCTAGGGCAAGCTTTCTCACTGGTCGAACCCTAGACTCGAAGCCTCACAGACAGAGTTGAGTTGGCAATGATCCGTAATGGTGAGCGCTTTTAGACCACTCGGCCACTGGAGGACCGCAAGTTTCGTATAATTCAACAAATACTTTAATTCTCTAAGTTATAAAATTAAAATTTTACACGAACATACAGAACTGCGAATCTCATCCAAAATAATACTAAAAGTTATATCACAATTCCAAAATAATAAAGTGTAACAAATGAAGTCCAAGATTTGAATATGCCGACGTACACTTGGCCTTGAATGTGCTAAGTGCCAACTATCTTTGTGCATCACAAAGTAACTGTCCAGACCGTCTTTCAATGAATTCACAATTACCCCCAAGCTAATATTTTAGTCCAAAATCAATGAGCAGTTTGTAATTCCAATGAATAATTTAAATAAATAAATAAATGCTTTAAGAGACTCATATTACAATGGAAACAAGAACGGGAATATGAATAATTGGTCACCACTCTCCTCGTATACATGTCCATAATTAAATTAAGACTCTTTATCGGAATTCATCCCTACGTGACACAAGTCGCAATATTTCAACCATCCAATCGGAAAATTTTACTTCAAACAATACAGATTCATTTTCAATAACATTCCCATGATATAATAAAAAAACAACATATATATATATATAGTCAATCATCTTAAAATAGAGCCTATACTCACAGACAAAAAATACCTGTATAATATCTTGTTTATTTAGATTCATATATAGATTTTTGTTTATTTAGATTATATAGAGATTGATTAATTGATTGATTGATCATTACAATCTACATTCATGGACCAAAATTCAACGCACAATATAAATAAACATAACAATTATGCCAGTCGGACTACATAGGGCATTAGGGTATTGAATAATTAACGCATTCTGCCCGTCACCCCGTCAAATCTGTCTGCAAATACATCCTTCAAATTCACTGTCTTATATTAACCAAATGTTGATTTTATAACTTGTCATTACAGTAAGTATCTGCAAAACGGGAACCCTATGAGAGTCATTTTTGTCAGGGAGTGGGTGGGAACTAAAGGGTCTAAAGTGGTACTGTTTCAAATTCGGCCAATATCTCATGAAGCAGGTAGAGATTTACAAAAGCTAGCTAACAAAGCTGTCCATGTTGCCGTTTTCATATCTGCACACACACACACACACACACACACACACACACACACACACACACATTCACACACAAACACACACACATTCCTTGGAACTAAATTTATTTTTTGCTTAATTTATTCACTTTCTGGGCATTTCATCAAACATGGGTTATAAGAGTAAAAAGTGTTATTTTTTACATCTTGGTATACCATCTGAGACTTCACATCCTCCTGATGTTCAATACCAATACATGGTGACCCCACCCGTTTCTCTCTTGGCTTAAATGTTGCATTTGTATGGATTGTTCAGTGTGAAATATTCAAGACAGAAGCATGTCTCGCGGAAATGGAGCTGACCGTTTATTTTTTTATGTTGACTGTTTGGCAGATGCTTGAGTTTGTCACACGAACGTGGTCCGGGTCGATTATCTCTTGTTTCCATTGGAAAGGCGGTTAGCTCCCTTTTCATCAGTGTGATATAGCAAATACCAATAATTACCAACCAATAACGACTTAATAAAAACCAACCAGCAAGATCAACAACTTAATTTTGAAACGTATGATTGTCGTATTAGTAATTAAGAAGACATTATTGTTGTTGTTGTTGTTGTTATTATTATTATTATTATTATTATTATTATTATTATTATTATTATTATTATTATTATTATTATTATTATTATTATTATTATTATTATTTGTCAAGCTATAAATAACAAATGGAACATATCAAATTAATTCTACAGCTTCATTCATTCGCACAAAATAATTTAACACCCCTGTAATTAGGTTATTTTCATCTCTGCTCCTATAAAAAAGACCCTAGTGTGTTAAAGTGTTGTGAAACACTTATCGATCGATCTCTCTTTTTATAACGCATTCTCACATATTTGTCAGAGATAGGTATAAGCTAATGCAATATTTTCTTATGGCATATTGTGGTAAAGACGAAAGCACAATAAATCAACACAAGCAAATATTACTACATGTGTATGTAACGTTGATAGTCGTTTCTAAGTACCTTTGTAATGGACATATCGTAGGTTGCATCGAGTCAATGTAATAAGATGGTGTTCTTGAATCCAAATGTTATTTTTAATATTGATGTCTACCACACACTAATTCAATGTCTGATCGATGTACCAGCAAGTTTTCTGCGGAATCCCAGGTTTCTCCTGCGTCTGTGCAAGGAAATATCCCCAATGGTGTCTGGTGTGATACAATTTGAACATCAAATCGTCGCCAGAAAATTGATAACAATGTGCCACTATGTTTAAATGGTATTGAAGAGAGAGGGACAGAATGGGGAATGGAGGGAAGAGGGAGAATATAAGACGGGATCAGAAAATACATATATAATCAGAAATACTAAGACTCATTGATGCCGGACAAAACACAGAACTTCTCTGCGAACAGTTGTTGTTGTTGTTGTTGTTGTTGTAGGGTTTAATGCCAATTTTCAGCACAAGATAGGCTATTCATGGCGACCAGTATAACTGTTGGAGGAAGAACCCTAGAAAACCTCGGGAAGAACCACCGACCCACGGATAGCCACTGGCAAGCCTTCTCACGTACCCACGTTAGCCGAGCCTGAGACTCGAACCCAAGCAGACAGACGTGAGATGGCAGTGATCCGGAACGGAGAGCGCTTTAGACAACTCGGCCTTTCGGGACCCCTCTGCGGACGGAGAAACAATTTTTTGGGGGAAAAAATGAGAGCTGGGATGAAAGTTTTTATCGGCCAAAAAGTCGGTATTACCTTGACTAGTAGTGAGTGCACTAAATCGACTTATTTGGGAAACGTGCTTGCCGAGTGCACGATGCAGTCGTGTTACACAAACCGATGCAGACGTGTTAAACAAACACCGAGACGGTGACAGTACGATAAGAAGAACCATCGTCCGTTTTCATTAACCTTTAAGGGACTCTGATAGAGCTGAGATAAGTGATTTATACCAAATCGTTGTAAATTTTGGCAGGAAATGAGGGTACCTTCCAGATAGGAGTGATACTATTTCTTAAAATAACAGCTGGTAGTTATCCTTCCTATAAATAGTTCTGAAAAAGGCGGATGTGCACTGGGTTTGCTTCGCGTCCAACAGAAATAATAGGTAGTATTTCAATTTGGTGACAGCGACGGACTAATAGAAACAACAACAAAAAAAGAGGGGACGATGTATATTGTCAAAATTATATTACGTTACTACCTGTGTGAAGTGAGGAAAATGGCCTGCTAAGGTAAGGGGTTGCTTCAATAATTTGATATAATGAACAAGGGAAAACGAATGTTTAAGACAGATGATTGTTTGATGTACGTAAACTTCAAAACAGGTTTGACTGCATTATATTCCAGGAAACTTAAGTGTCTACCTTTTTATATTTTAAGTTAGTTATTGTTGTATTTGTTGTTGTGAGTTTAACATCCTTTTTCAGCACACGACAGGCTATACATTACGGCTAGTATATCTGGTAGAGGAAGAACCCGGGGAAAACCCAGGTAAGAACCACTAAACAACGGTTAACTACTAGCAAACTTTCTCATGTACCCATATTGGCTGAAACTGTGACTCAACCCCACGCTTTTGTATTAGTAATTAACAAAATAATATGTCTCTAACAAAAGGTTGCGTAACGTCCGACAATGGCGTCTTAAACTGTCAGCACCGAAATTGGCCTCTTGTAGGGTACATATGTTTTACAGAGGGCATTAATCTTATGCTTTACTTTGGTTACATACAGTTTCAATAAAACACATCCGTTTATATAAGCTGTACTTCTTATATTGTAGAATAGAAAGAACTCAAATATATCAATGCAAGTGATTGATTAAACATGTGCGAAATCAATATAGTGCTTGCTTAAGTTATTTTTATTTAAATTTTCGGTTTTGTC